GAGAGAGAGAGAGAGAGAGAGAGAGAGAGAGAGAGAGAGAGAGAGAGGCGCAGGTGTGTCTTCAGTGACCTAGAACAGCCGGTGTCAAGCTTGCATAAACATGCATACTGTACTCGCATGCATCGCCATAAACAATAACATTAACGATAGCACAAATACAGTTCATATTAGTAAAGGTTCTAATGAAGGGAAATGCGTGAATGTGTTTATTTCACAGTGCATGTATTAAGAACTGCAAATGTAAAAAACTGGCATTCTGCAGGGATCCAATATCATAAAATATGCAATTTCTTTTCAGCTTGATGTTATATGTCCCATATGTAAGGTGATGTTATCCTCACAACAAGGGCGCTTGATAGCATGAGGAAATCAGAGGTGATTAGCAATTAATGTGAGTAACACTGTGATGAATCGTGGTTTATTATACAAATGAATGCAGGTAGAAAGAGCAGATCCCAGCTCAGTCAGTGTCTCCGCAAGATCCCTGCATGCTGTTTTAATCCACAAATATGACATAGTGGATTACTTCTGTCTTGAGGTTATGAAACATAATTTGAGAAACAATTATAGGTGGCATATATTATGCAAAATATGTAACCTCACGTTATATCTCATTTTTCTTAAGGCTTACAAACACAATTTTACCTCTCACCCCTTCATCGCCCCTATAGACTGAGGCAGATTTGTTCGGGGAAATCAATTGATGATCAAATCACTTAAATCTATTTGGACAGCTTAGTATGTAAAGAAGAGAGCAATAGTTTGTGATGCTTTCTCTTTATACTGTGATAGATTAAGATATTTTAACCTCTTGTTACATTGGTGATCACTATTACAGGTTTAATGGTTGATGTTTCTGCAATTTGTGATTCAGTCTAAATTTTATGAAACATGTCACTACAATAAAAATATTGTTAAACAATTTCAAGATTAATTGATTTAACGAGTTCTTACTGATCAGTAAAACATAAACTCACAAACCCTGTTGATGTCCATGCGTTTGTCTGTCTTTTGCATGAAGAAGGTGAATAAAGTCATCTTGTAAGTACCCACAGGGCTCTAACCTAGACAGCAGCTGTCCGGTTATATGGAGGTCATAAGTAATCAAATGGGATGCTACATTGAGTCCTGTAAATAGTACGGATATATAACTTCCAATTTCAAACCTACTGCTGTGATTTAATTTCGTTCACATAGATAATCCTGCCAGTTGGCTTGATGTTGAAAGATTACCAGCAAAACCTACCGAATATAAGACTGTGCATGTGCAAATTGCACTGACCTCTCTGAAAAGTCTCGCCTGAACTGAAAAAAACACCAACATGTTTGCACTATATTTTTAAGTGAGGCTGTGTCTCAACTTAAGTTTCCTGACTAATATACAAGTGTTAGACCTATATAGAATTGTTAGCCTACATAAGTATTACACAGACATTCTTAGGAATGATACACCAACTAAATGTGTCAAATCAAGTCAATAACAAGCTACAACTGGGGTAAAACATGTGAATTAAGTAAGTACATTGGTGCATTTCAGTATTGAGAGGAACTATAAGACCAACATGTCTGTGGTATGGATTCCATGTCGAATAGTGATTCAATTAGAAAAAAACATACTTACAATTTTAGGATCTAATTTCAGCATCTGTTTTGGCCACTATCAGTCTCATGGGACGAGATATAATAATGAAAGCTGCTTATTAGGTGAGACATTGGCGGTGGGGTGGGTACGCCCTCTTGTGGGCATACAAAGACACAACAGTCTTCATTCACAGGCTGGTTCTTTTGGTTTAGCCTTGAGCCTTCTGTTCGGCTCCACCACTAGAGGGCAGCATAGCGACATGGCCGACTAGCAAACAGTGTCAACTTAGTGTGTGAAGAAGAAGAGTAGCCCGGGGTGGCTAGTTGTGGTGTAGAGACATGTTAGAGAACTGACAGTAATGCTAACTTGTCCGCAGTAGTTAGGGAGTTATCAAACAGTGTCTGGGAGCTTACAGGAAGGATTTTAGAGCACGGAACTTCGCCAGGTGGCCCGTGTTGAGGGTTGTCGAACCGGTCAAACGTAACCGAGCTCAGACCTTTTGATATCTGACAACCGCTGGTTAGCTAGCATTAGCTGGCTAGCTGGGGAGCTCCCGAAAAGTAACGTCAGGGCTCGTCTCACACAGTCATGTCTGCGGCCGGAGACTTCGGGAACCCTTTAAGGAAATTTAAATTGGTCTTTCTCGGGGAACAGAGTGGTGAGTGTGATGTGAACGTTACAAGTCGTGTGTATGTCTAATCTGTGTGATGCTATGCAGGAGGTTTAAGTGAAGTTAGCGAGCTAACACCAGAGTTTGATGGCTCTGGTCGGGTGATTAACGATAACCAGTTAGCTAAGCTAACATTAGCTGCGTTAAACTTGGCATGGTGGTAGTATTGCGACACCGTTACTTATTACTAAATGCGTCTCCACGTCGGCTTAATGGAAAAGCAATTCCTATGTTTCCAGATAGGTTGAGTCATGTCTGAAATCGGCTTGTTCGCTTGTTGACCAACTTCCGTGGCGAGCTGTGATAACATACTATGAACGGAGTCAGCTAACGTGAGGAGAACGTTACAAGTGTCAATTCAAGTAGAGTGTTTAACATAGTAACTTTAGGGAGAATTGAAAGTACTTTATATAAAATGACACCAGTTGTATTTCATCTCAGCAACACTTCATAAGTGGAGGCTACAGTTCCACTCACGTTACACACTGTATTTACAGCTGTGGGCAGAAGAATGCTGTAAATCTCAGTCAAAGTCCTAAAATCATAGGACACTGATTACACAGTGCAGCTACCCTGGGGGCTCTTCTTTGAAGAAGGGATTCATCCCAATGACCAAACCTGTCCAGTGGCATTCCTGCACTCTCCCTAATCATTTCCCCCCCTTTCAAGCCAAACTGAACACAGGGTGTGCTTGTCCTGGAAGACAAAGAGGGGGGCAGGGAGTATAGATCCATGGACCATACCTAACAATCATGTATCTGTTTTCAAAGGTAAAGGTGTGGTGTTGTTCATTATATAGTTCAACGCCCTGCTTCCACGGCTTTCCGTTTTTTCCACAGCTGTGTGTTTTGCATGCCAACACAAAGCACACAGTGTAAGCATGTATAATTAGTTATGCACAGACCCCACTTCACTCCCAATACGGAAGAGGATATATCAACTTGAGGTATCTGCTGATACAAAGTACTAATATGATACTGAAGAAACTGTACTTCATGTGGATCCATCACTGATGGCCTGACATTCTCCAATCTGCCTAATAAAGATCCACACTGATACTGATCCAGCTGATCTGATTGGTGCATCCCTCGTGTGGAAACAGGGTACGGTAGTGTAAGAATGCTGCCGGTGATTATTTATTAAAGGTATTGTGTCCTGTAATATGACTCTCCACTCCCATCCAGATAGGCCAGACTTTGTGTGTTTGTGTCGGACTGTGTATGATCAGCTGTGGCTCCTTGTAAACAGCTGTGTTGGCTTTGGCCATGCCATCATCACTTGATGTAACTGATAGTGTAACACAAGCACAGTGAAGCAGGCTGGGGAGCCCTGTGCGGGTGCTCAAAACAACCGTATGAGTGTGTCTCTCTGTAATAACGTGCTGAAAGTGGTGTTGGACTTGTAGGCTAAGCATCAGCCATGTTTGAAGGAATGTTGTGAACCATTTTACAGCTCATGTGTTGAGAGAATGGAGGAGTAAGCGTAGACGTGGAGCACCAAGAATCAATGAAGTTGGTCAGTTAAGGGCGCAGCGAGGAATAACAATTCAGAAGGGAAATATACGGGGAGCCTGGTTCCCAACCCATCTTGTCTCTCAACATTCCTCCAACTTCTCCTACAAATAACTGCACCACACCTTTTAATGGATAACAATTTCAAAGGGTAGCGACTAGCGAGAGTTGCATGATGCGCTGCTTTCAGCCTCAGTCCATTATACGTGTTCTTCATTTGGGGCTCGTGAACTGTACTCAGCTGTGATGATGCATCTTGTGTTTAACTCGTCATGACTCACAATAGATAGTAATCCATCCTTTTATGTTATTTCCTAACATTTCAAACTGTCAGCAGAGTTGTACATCAGGCCGACATGTTGTCCGTGTAGGAAACATGTGACTTATGAGACTTATCTTTCTAAATGTTACCGGACATAAAGGGAGATGGTTTCAACTTGGCTGGCTTCAATATTGTGTATTTTTGTTGATCATTTATATGATTTTGGAAGTTGTTTATCAAGCAAAAAGGCCAAACAACCACCTCATCCAGCCTTAAAAATGTGAAACCAAGTGAGAATGCTGCTTTTCTGTGTTATATCAAACTGAATATTTTGGGATTTTAAAATGTAAACAATGAATCAAAATAAAGTAGAAGAGATGGATGAATCAACAGTGGGTTAGTTGCAGCACTATCCTCATGAGAGCCACACATTAATGTGGTTATTCTGAACACACTGAAGTTAAAGTATGATCGCTGCACTTCCAGTACTTTATTGTTTCTGTTTCTTCTTTAGTGGGAAAGACTTCGCTGATCACCAGGTTCATGTATGACAGCTTCGACAACACTTACCAAGTGAGACCAATACCTCCACCTGATTTCATCACAGTTGATAATTGTCCATATTGTTCTGAAATCAAACATTAATGGATTGAATAACGTTATGCATATTTAACGTCTTGTCACCCATTTTCAGGCCACAATAGGAATAGATTTCCTGTCGAAAACAATGTACCTTGAAGACCGAACAGTAAGTTTTATTTATTTTTTGACGATTGTTTAATCAGTCATTGATTGTTGGTTCTTCTGGTCTTTGTCCAGATTGGGGGAGATTCTCTTAGTGACTGCAGTGTTATGTCAACAGACACTCTGCTGATGCTGATTTCTGACATAATTTTGTATCGTTCTTTTTTTTCTTCTTCTTCAATAACTCCGTTATGTTCTCTCTGACAAGCACACACGGCATTTGTACAGCCGTCCAAGCCTTGAGTTGGATGCCGGACCATCCTCCCTCTCTTTGTTTCTTTCTCCCCTCAACACAAGTTTTCTTCCTCTCCCTCCTCCCCCTCCATCTATTGTCTCCATTCCTGTTTTGAAATGAAACACCTTACTTGATCAAGAGAGGAGGGTTGATGACAAGTGAAGGGTGATTATTTATTTATTCCCCCCCCTCAGGCCCAGACAGCTTGCTCTTTCTGGTGGTCATCCACTACCTGCATGCGCTAGGTTCTCTTTGAACTCCCTTTATCATTTCCCATTCGTCTAACTTTATTCTGTTTTTCTTTTCAATTTGTGTTTTTGTCAACATAACTTACCTCATTTTTTTTTTTCTTGTTTTATTTTCATCCTTTTTTGTTTTTTTGTTTTTCTCTTCTTTTGTTTCCCCCCCCCCCATCCCCTTCCTGCCCCACAGATCAGGTTGCAGCTGTGGGACACGGCGGGGCAAGAGCGGTTTCGTAGCCTCATCCCGAGCTACATCAGAGACTCTGCTGCTGCTGTCGTGGTGTACGACATCACAAGTACGTGGATCGCCTGTGCACTCTGGTGTTGATGCCACAATGGCCTCGTCCTCTTATGTGTTCTGTTTTCTTTAACGTTCATTACCAATCAGTATAAATCTACTTGAACGCTTACTTCTGTTGGTAAATGTTTGTTGCATGATGTGACGCAAGCACACAGACTTGGTCAAGATGTGAACTCTACTTCCTTTTCATCTCCTGAATACTGATGCGCCGCTTCCTGTTTCTCCGTCATCTCTCTTTCAGATGTCAACTCCTTCCAGCAAACCACAAAATGGATCGATGATGTGAGAACGGAGAGAGGAGGTGATGTCATCATCATGTTGGTGGGAAACAAGACAGACCTTGCAGACAAAAGGTAATCCGCTCGTCCTTCCTCCTGCTAGTGTGTAAGTGGGTCTTCTCCATTAAGAGCCTACTAATGAAGTCATTGATCGTTGCTGCTTGCCTATCGATACAGAGTTCCTCTGCCCTTTGCTGAGGCAGAGCAAATTATCTCTGCCCTTTGTGGATGTCAAAGCTCTCATTGACCTTCTTCTATACGATATGCCCTCTTTCTTTGTTTCAATCTACATTATCTGACTCTTCAACAGATCAAGTTCATAAATGTATTGATAGTTGTCAGCTGTGATATTTGATGGTATTTTTGATCTGAAAGTGTCTACCGTGTGATCATCCACCTGTTTAATGAAGTAAGTTGTGCAATGTCTTTCGCTGTGTATCTCCTAACCTCCTTATCTACCACAGGCAAGTATCTATTGAAGAGGGTGAGCGGAAAGCCAAAGAACTAAATGTAATGTTTATTGAGACTAGTGCGAAAGCGGGCTACAACGTAAAGCAGGTGAGTGTGTGTGTGTGCGTGTGTGTGGGAGTCGTGCTCCATCGGCCTGCTGCCACCTGGGCTCCACCCCCAAAAGGTCGCCCGACACAATCACAGGTCAGATGTTGGGGGAGTTAGAGTTTTTAAAGTCATCCTAGAATAGTTTAGACCTTCTACAATAGCCATTTTTAAAAACTTGCCAGTTAAATCAGCATTCATTTTCTTTCCAAAATGTAAAGCGTTCTGTCACCGTTGTGGGACATTGAACAGCCTGAAGTTTTACCGGACAACTTTTGGTCTGGAGCTCAGATGGCAGTAGCATCAGGAAGGGGTACGGCTTGTCAATCCACTTCAATGTAATCACAGTCTGTGTTTTTTTTCCCCCTTGTCTTTGTGTGTGCGTGCGTTTGCGTGTGTGTGTGTGTGTGTTTGCGTGCGTGTGTGTGTGTGTGTGTGATGACTCGTGGCTTATCACAGACAGATAACCACAGAGGAGGGAGAGCAGAGAGCGAAAGAGATGAATGTTCTGTTTATTGAAACGAGTGCAAAGACAGGCTACAATGTCAAACAGGTAGAGCGTGTGCCACTGTGTGTGTGTCCATAGTGCTCATGCGCTCTTCTGATTGGCTTCTATTTCACACACGCATGCGCGCATAAAGGTGTGCTTTGCACTTTGGCTTCGTCTGTTTGCTAGTGAGGCCTGTGGATTTGTTTTCAAGCTCTCTCTCTCACCTGCTAGAAGCAATGCTTTGTATTGCCAACTATTGATCATAGAGCCCTAGAGGTGGGTAAGGATTTGAAAACCAACAGGCCCTTTTCACATCAGTACATTTTGAAATCTGCAGGGTAAACGCAGTGTAATTGATCATATTTATAATGGCCCTGGTCCATTTAGCTGGGCCTATTGTGCATGCTGGCTCACTGGAACGTCTGTGACACGCTAAATAGAACGGGACCATAATTAGTTTGATAAACTACAGCTGTGTTTACTTTGCTGCGACCAGTTGAAACGGCCTATGCCGCGACACGGATAAGCACATTAGCAGTTTTTGTTGCATGTGCATAAAGTCTGGTTCTATGTTACGCTTGTTAGTGGTGGGCGGGCATGTTGAGCAAAATCACGTGAATCCATCAATCACTTAAAGTCCTCCAAGCTCCATCAAAGGCACAGTTACACCCTTTTATTTCAAGGCACTAGAGCTGTGCAGTGGTTCAAAAACATGCTGCTAAATTATAATCAAATTTTAGAGAAAGCTCTGGTGGCTGTCTTCCTCTGTGCGAGCTTCAGGCGACCCTTGTGCTAAATCATGTCATGGGAATCTATCTGGATTTCATCCTGTGCTTCTGTTGTGCTTTGAGTGTATTTCCGTCTCTGACAGAAAACATCTGGTTCTCTTTCCCTTCAGCTTTTCCGGCGTGTTGCAGCCGCCCTCCCTGGCATGGACAACACACAGGACAAGAGTAGAGGGGACAGTATCCTTTGTGTACATGCACACAGCGTCAGTGTCTGTCATGACAGAAGGGAGTCCGAAGGTCTCCTCGCTCTTTTATGTCGTGTCACATGGATGCTGTTTAAAACACGTGTGTCCCTTTTAGATTTATTTTACAAGTCGGGGCACATACAGTGCTCCAGCTCACTGACTACTTTACTGTGGTTATAATTTTAGAAAAATACTCGCCACCTCTAGGATGCAGTTAATTTGGATTCCCAGCAGTTTGTTTCAGATTACAGATAAGAGTTCATCTACTTTACGACTTTAGTTTTGATAAGTTATGTAAATAATGTATATTCACGTTCACATTGTGAAGTTATGTTAGTTCTGTGATGTTCCTTCACTCTGAAACCCTTCAGTGATTGATGTAAAGCTGATGGATAAGCCACCAGAGGTACCTGCCAACGATGGAAGCTGTTCCTGCTAATGCCAGCTCATGTCATTGCTTGATATTTCTCTCCTGGCTTTTTATCAAACCCAGTTGGTTTTTCTGTATCTGTACCTTTTCACTGCACCCATTTCTGTCCCCCAGCCTGAAGGAGCTCACACACTACAGCCGTTATACTCGTTATAGAAAGAATTGCTCTGAAAGGACTCTCTGAAAGTCACAAATCACTCACAGTGAATATTTGCACTGTAACACACGCATACGATGAAACTGTACTCACAGCTGTCACTCTCACAGTGCTGTAGTTTGTGTCTGAAGAAGACCGTTTGAACCAAACTGAAAACATGTGTTTAGGACATCAATCAAAGTATGTGTTGAGTGAGAATATTCTTAAAAACAAAGTTAAATATTGCTTTAAGCTTAATACGCACAATGTTATGCGTATTTGTCAGTAAACTTAATTTGTGCTGTTGCAATTGACGTGAAAGGATTCATTCATGAATCTGTTCTTTTGTTTTAACTGGAATCATTTGTGGACAAGGTTGCAGAGTTGTGTTGAGGTGAATCAATCGGGGCTTACGTTGACACGTTTAATGCACCCCCACGGTGCCAGAGCTCCTTTTAAACAGAGCGAGCTTTGTGGAGCCTGTACCAGCAGAGTCCCACTTCTCCCAACATGCACCAGCAAGAACCGACAAGTGAATACAGAGTCGCACATCACCGCCTGGTCTCAGACCAGCACAAACACACGACACTACAAGACCAACACTACCGCTACACCCTCCACATTACCGTCCTTCCTCTCTTCCCACACTTCCCTTGAGATGGGTTATGTTTACCGTGGCTTCCATTTTCTATTACCTTTTTATTTGAATAGATCTTTAATTTTTTTTTTTTTTTTTTTTTTTTTCTAAAGACTACAGATATCATAGATTAAAACTATTTCTTTGAAGATAGTGTTCGAGAAGGATGTTCTCGTATGTTAAGAGTCATAATCATGAAACCCACTGTAAACATTAGATATGGAGATATATGCCTTTTGGAGTTCAATTGTAGAGGGCTTCCTTGGCTTTGGGTTTATATAGTTAAGTTTGGTATGTTTGATGAACACTTCACATGCTTTTTTTTTTTTTTTTTTCTTTTGCTTGTTAATTTGTTGGTATTGATCTTTTGTTAGTGATTATTCCACATGTGTATTTAATCCACAATGACTTGTAATATTTATTTCAATTGGATTCATATTTCTTTCTTTTTTTATGGCTGTTAATATCTACACTTTTGGTGCAAGTACTGAATCTCTAATAGAATATGCATCCATCTGGATCACCTTTAGCAGACAGGAGGGAGCCTCTGCTGTTCCCTCTAAATGGCAATTTGATCTTACTGATAAATACAGTGCAATTTTTGTGTGAACTTATATGGAGGAGAGTCTGATTTGTATGGCATAGTAGCCCCTAACGTCTCTGTCTGGAATGGTTTTAAATGAAAAAATAAAAACACACTTGTCACTTCTGCTGGAATTCATCAATGTTTTATTGACCGCTTTAGGATTGGCTTCAACTACTTGCACGGTATCTTTTAAAATCTGAATTATGAATTAAAGATGAAATGCTCAGAGTATTGTTGATGGTGATCTGTAAATCTTCAGCCTATCACTTAAAATAAAAGGGCTCAGTTTGTATGCTGTGGGACAGCGATCAATAAATCCAACTAACTCTTTGTATAGCACCTTTCATGGGTTAGTGTAATACTAAGTTTATATGTGACTGAGAGTAACAGGAATAATTATTCCACTGTGGCCTAACACCCAGCAAGACACCAAACTATAACTATTTTTATTACATGAATACAGCAGTCAAATGGTTTGTTTATTTTGTTTTTCTTCGACAGTGTGGATCCTGCTCTCGCGAGACTTGCAATAATGACCGATCGCGCTTCAGCCATTAATGCATGTCCCGCGAGAGCATCCCGTGCTGTTACCCTGGAAACCAAGCTAAACAACGAGTGTCACGCTTTGTTATTTTGAGGCCCACATTGCGCGGGGACATATTGAGCTTTGCTTTCATTTTTGAAGATAGTTTTGAGCATTTACCTCCACAATGTTTAGCGATTACTACGAGACGCTGGAAATAAACACAAACGCAACAGACGCGGATATCAAAAAAGCGTAAGTTTTGGTAAAAAATAGCCACCGATGTGTTACGTTAACTAAAACTTCAGACGCATCTGGCGTCTGTGCTTATTGTCAGTTTCCCTCTTTTAACATGACTAGATATCGACGCCTTGCATTGAAGTTTCATCCGAGCAGCAACAAGGAGACCGGAAGCTCCGAGAAATTCAGTCAACTGGGTGAAGCCTACGAAGTGTTGATCGACCGTGAGTAGCCTCCAACAGGGAGGTCTAGAGAATAATCCACCTCTGACCCACACACATTTAACCTGTATTCACTGCATGGAGACTGGCAGTATGTGTCTACAACAACAACCTATGTCCTTTGTGACAGCACGGAAAAAGGCAACCTATGACAAGTTTGGTGAGGAGGGTCTAAAAGGTGGCGTCCCGCCTGAGGTTGGCAGCACTGGGGCTTGGTCATCTAAATATGTCTACCATGAGAACCCAGACAAAACATTCAGAGAGTTTTTTGGAGGCGACAACCCATTCGCAGGTGAGAGAAACAGACCATGAAGTGAATGTGTTCATTCAAATGCCATCCTCATCAACTAAAGTTGTTGTTTTTTTGCTAGACTTCTTTCTGATTGATGCACCTCTTCAGTTCGGCGGCCTGCAACAAGGAACGGTGAAGACACAGGATCCTCACATGGAGAGAGACCTTTTTTTGTCCCTGGATGATCTCTTCAACGGATGCACAAAAAAGGTTAAGATATCTCGCCGGGTAAGAGCTATTGTGTATGTGAGATAACTATCTTCTTTCATCTCACAGCTTATTCATACATTTATTCATTTTAGCCTCATTTGTGGTAAACAGGTTATGAATGAGGATGGATGCCAGTCCAGCGTCAAAGACAAGATCCTGACTATAGATGTGAAGCCTGGATGGAAAGAAGGCACGAGAATTATTTTCCCCAAAGAGGGAGATCAGGTAAAAGAACAATACATCACCATTAAGACAGCCGCACTAATGGTCACTGATAACCATAATATGCTGTATTACTGTTCAAGGGGATTTGACCTGTTGTTCTAGTTCTTCTTCTCTACTGACACATTGCTGCCTCTGTGAGAACGGTCAGAAAAATGGGCTGAGAAAGTGTGATTTGTAATGATTTCACTAGTTTGGTTAAAGTTAGCATAAGTTGTTCTAGTTGAGGAGAGGATGAGTTATTTTTGGATAAAAGCAAAGTAAGGCTGTGATCATAGTCTGCATGACTCCTTTACTTCTTTGCCTAGTGTAGAATTTCTTACAAGAAAGTGTGTTATGCCCTGAGTTTTGGCTTGTGGCGCTGTCCCTGGTGCTGATTTATCAAACACTCTGTTCGAGCTGATCTCTCAGCTAATGGGACTTCATTACATACAACCCCAGCTTTTAGATGATATGAGATGAATCATAAAGTGGTTATTAATTTGCTTAATACTGAATGTATTTTTTTTTTTTTTTTTTAGCAAGTCTCAATGTGTATTGTAATTATGTTTGGTGAATACGTGTTTGAGATAATGTTGATGAAACATGACTGGAAACTTGCTCAAGCTGTTGACCACAGAATGCAAGCCTGGATATATGTATCAGGTAAAGATAACAGAAAATAATGCTTAAATATGAACAGCTAAGAAAATATTCCACTGGATCTGATGCAATGCTACCAGTAGGTGGCCTCAGCTGATCTCTTTCAAGGTGCTCACTCATGCTTGTATGAATATATACCGCTTAGTAATTACTGCCTTATTTTTCGTCTCTCTTACCTCTTTTATTTTGCTTGATATATACCTAACTGCAGGGTTATCTGTGTGCTGTATTTTGCCTTTAGGGACCAAACCTCATCCCTGCAGATATGGTGTTCATATTGCAACAGAAGAGTCACCCCCTGTTCATAAGACAACACAACGACCTGATCTACAAGGCTCACATCACTCTGAAGATGGTGAGTCATGTTAATGAGAGGCAGAATAATTATGGGTCATACTTAAAGATGTCCTTTAAGCAGAATAAACACTGAGCCTTTCATACAGGCCTTGACCGGGTTCTCTGTGGATGTGCAGACACTAGATGGCAGGCTCATCAGTATCCCCATCAATGACATTGTGCAGTGAGTGGAATACTACATAACTGAATTCATTTTTTGTCATTAATGTGACAGTCTCAAAGCTGATTTAAACATGAAGATCGAAACAGAGAGAGCTGATCATAAGAAAGTCCAGCCCTTTATATAAACAGTACACTGATATTACAAAGACATTTCTTGATGAATTGGCATTGTTTCAGGTTTGTGCATCAATTACCAATTTCCTGTCTCTGATTTGTCTCACAAACACAACAGCCCTTCGTACAACAAAGTGGTGACTGGAGAGGGAATGCCGCTGTCCCAGGATCCGTCCCAGAGGGGAAACCTCATCCTTGCTTTTGACATCCAGTTTCCCAAGAAGCTCTCCGCCGAGAGAAAGCATCTGATCAGACAAGCTCTATCTTTTAAAAAATAAACAGATTCTAATACATGTGTTGCCATCCTGTGACTCAAGACTAATGTGGCCATAAGAGAGTGAAGTATCAACGCAATTTGTATAACTTTGACACTTTGAGTTTAAATATACACTAGGAGGCAACAAGACGCAAAGACATTTGTAAACAACACCACTGTGCTACAACACCCGCCTTCTCACAGACAACGATGGTTAGGGTATAGCTGTGAAGTTGTGATTCGCTGCCATCATGGCTCGCTTCAGCTGCTCGTATGTCACAAACATCACCACGTTCCACGAGCCCAGGCGTAAGAAAGATGGCATGAACCTCAAGGGAACAGAAAAACAACGTGATTGATTGCCACTCGTTCATATCAACCGCTGTGTTGCACATTTACAACCCTGTTCTCTCTTCGCCCTCCTCTATAAATGTTTGAATTTTATCCTCACTAATCCTCTCAATATTGTCGGCGCAGTCAATGCTTACCCCTTATAAAAGGCAAGCGGCCCCTCTTTGTTCATCATGGCAGAAGCACAAATGAGGACACTGCTGTACTGGCCAAGAGCAGCGTTCATATATCTTGTCTTGACCACATCAACTGGAGAGGCAGTCACTGTTGTGCACAGCCCAGCACCAAAGGCCGATACAAAGTGGCAGGGCAGATTGTCTGTGGAGCGAAAGATGAACGTTACTGCACCAAAGAGAAGAACACATGGGGCATAATGTCATGCCTCTGCATCATGTTGTACTGCAGCCATTGTTTTACCTGTCAGGGGAGTGGACTTAAGGAGGGAATCCTTGATGAAATCGTACGTCACCAGCTCAGTGCAGTTGACGATTGCATTTCGTGCAATGTTTGGAGCTGTACCTGCATGATGATATCAAAAAGATTTGTTTTAAGATATGAAAGGAGATTCTTTAATAACAACATAATAATCTTAAACTCAAGCTACTGTACCTTTCCACAGACCACGAATGCCTTCTTCTTTAGCAATGGTCTTGTAAGCATCAATAGTGCTACAGTAGCGTCTGGCTTGCCCAGGACGCCTGGCCTGTGCCTGTAAGCGGACCTTCACTACATCTGTAGGCTGAGCAAATGCAACCGCCATGGCCCCGGTGGTACATCCTGCAAGCAGTCGAATGCCGATACCAACATCTGAACCAGAGGGGAGGGAGGTGTCAGGCCTGATTGGTGCAGGACTCCCTTGACTAGCTAAGATCGGAATACATTCATAGATACTCACGATCAGAGCCTTTGGTGTAGAACTGTTTGACAGAGTCATAGAGGCCAATGCGGACAGAGGCGAAGCTCATCTGCCTCTGGAGTCCTGCCACCAGTCCACTGTAAAGGCTCCTGGGCCCCTCTGTGCGCACCATGGTGGTGATGGTGCCAAACACTCCACGATACCTCACTGCAGACCCTTTCCCTGCAGCTGCTGAAGCCCTGAGCTCTCCTTGTATCTGTGCAAGGTAAAATGTTATAATAGGTGAGGATAAGAAAGGATGGGGGGGCTGTTACATACAGTGTACTCGCATACGGGCACGTTCAATACCAAAATTTGATCTGTTGATGGGAAGTTCAGGTAACTTCCCATCAACAGATCAAATTTTACCTGTGACATTTGCAAAAAGCTTGTTTACCTGAAGCCGCACTTTGGCTGTGTCCAGGGGAAAGGTGAGCAGGTCAGCGATGCAGCCTGCAGCTCCTGCTCCTACAAACTTCACAGCTGCTGATGGAGGCACATCTGCAGGTCCAAATCCAACCATTTTTTCAGAATTATTTCGATCAATGGATGGATTGAAGAGTGGCTTATTATCAATGTGGACAGGACAAAACGCTCCTCCAAAATCTGAAAAAGATAGACCCCAAAACACATTTCATCCAAATGTATTTTATGGAAAAGTGTCCTGAGCTATTTAACACCTCCATTAAGCAAAAGGGACATTCTAAAGTAAAGGTTTTAGTGATGCTAAATGAAAGACAGCTGTTCAGTACATTCTGTGCAGACAGGGAAATGCTGGGCTTACATAAGCTAAAGCACATTACACCTAATTTAAAGCGTGAGTTTTGGTTATTAATTCTTACCTTTAATGGAGCAGTTTAGGAAAGAAACATTAGAGATCAGGATTCTCTAAAGGCGTCTCTCTGGCTGAACTTTGTCCCAGCTATACATTGGTTTCCTTCTTTTTCCATAGAAGGTTTTTCAGAAGAGATGAGAATTAAAATCATACTCCAAATCCTGAAAAACAAAAAAAAAGATATAAGGTAAAAAACAATAGTGAAACAGTATAACAATAGTATAAATATTCCCAGCATAAAGTCACATATACCGTTATTTGAGTTGTAGAAGTTAAAACAATAACCAAGTAACAATAGCCAAATGAATCGTTGAATGGACAGGATGCAGTAGTGTGGAGAAGAAAGCCGCCTCTTTAAATACTGCCCTGTTCTTGTTACATCATGGCATGTGTTGCTGGTTGGGCCCCACCCCCCCACTGCATCTATATGGTCTGCCTGCTGGAAGACTGTAAACCTGCCTGCCTGACAAACAGCCTGAGGTTGTGTTTGTCTGATTCTGTATGTGCTGGAACATATTTTGTCTCTGCCTTCTTGGCTTCATCATCAAGCTTCCTCTATGTTGTGTCCTCGGACCGACAACGACGTCACAACAAACAGTAAAAAGCGCGGTTGTGACTGATTAGACAGGCTCAAAGTCAATGTTTTGTGAAAATAAAAGATTGGATTTTCTAACTTGCTAATACAAATTTTGTTACGTCAGTTATCTAAGGTCTGTACATGATGTCATAGTACAGGGAGCACAGAGAGAAATAAAATGCTGTGTCATGCTGATTATCCAAAAACGCATAGAACAGAGCCCACCAAATGTAATCCGTATGTTCAGACCCTTTGTCTCTGTAATCGTGATCTATGACCTGTTAATGCAATGACTGATGAACAGGGCTATGTAAAGCAATGCAGCATTGAGTTATTAGTTTAAGTTGTTGAAGCTGTAAAAAAAATATTCATATAATGTGAAACATATGCAATGTTATGAATGAAGGGGTACATGTTCTTTACATGTATGATGACTCTGTAAATCTGATTGACCCAAGTGTGTTCTGGAAATACTCAGGGCACAACTGAAGGCCATCTAAACAAAGCTGCATTTATTCGGAGGCCCAATGCAAGCTGAGGGCCTTGCTTTCTTTTTCAGTTAATAGTCAGAAGTTATCTCATCTTTACAGCTCTGCTTTCAGGGCACCACCATCTGAAATGTTGAGATAAGTGAATTTTTGTCCGCCGATCTTTTCTACTGTGAACACAGATGCAAACACCTCTCCAAACTCATTTTTCTTTCTGGAGGACTGATAATTCAAGAAGAAGGTGTTGTGATGGGGAGATATACTGTAAGTCAGGTGAATACGTAAGTCTTCCACAAATATACTTAAATACTAAGCTACTTGTATGTTTATTATTTGGATTATGTAGAGGTTCTGACTAAGACATGTTTTGAAACCAATATTTTTGCTGTCTACTTTCCCAAATCACTATATTCTTTATCAAAGATGAATTGAATTGTAATATTTGATCGTTTGATAGCAATTTCTCTTACTGGCTGATTTTGGAAAAACTTGCCTTAGTCATCACATGTGAAGTAAATCCTGTGCAGTTGTCTCATTTGCCCGAAGACTTTGAGATGGTGTATACTGCTGATTTCTACCACAATTACACATACTGAATACTGTCCCACTTAGATCCCCAGATGCTCTGATTTCTGTAATCTAATCTAAATCTAATTTATCACTCCACTTCAGTCACTTTATGAACTTTTATTTATATCTAATCACATTTTTTAAACAGTATTCCAGGGTTGGCTGATGTAACACAGCTAACAAAACACAAAAGTAAAATTTAATAATAAACAAAGAAAAACATGGCACTTCATTTATTCATTTTGGCATCATTTGTCACTGTTTGCAACATATTAATGACTTATCGACCAGCAATAAATCATGCTATTTACAATGAACAGCACAATGATATACCTATAAGTCCCTGATCGCATATACAAACAATGGTAAACATTGTAAACCATAAAACTGAAAGCAACATAAGGAAATGGTCACTGATCTATTGCCCTCAGGGAAAACCTACCCTGAATAACAAATAAAATGACACCGTAACATTGCTCACATTATCTCACAGTTCATTCTTGTAAACATCCATCTTCAAAGTTATGTAACAGCAAGCTGATCAAGGTTTTAGTAGCCTATATACAGTATCTGGAAAAGAGATCAAACATACAGTAACCCTGTGGAATTACAATTGCACATCCGTCTTTCACTCCTCAATCAGCATTTTCTGATAGAGGTGCTCTCCATTACAATCCATAAAATGTCTCTTCATACATGCATCATTTTGTTATTGCAACGATGCTCTCAGAGTCTGTTTATTTAAGTTGTAGAGCTTCATGACACCCTTTTCCAACCCCGGGTCACCACTGCATCGTGGTGAAGGTTAGGCCGTTGTGTCTGTGCAGTCCCGTCTAAAAAAGTAGTCAAGCTGAGGTCAAAGCGGCGACTCCCAGTACTGCTGTGTCCTGGTCATACCTCTTTTAATTTGTTCATATGTCACAAACATCACAATGTTCCACGACCCCAGTCGCAAGAAAGAAGGCATGAACCTAAAGGAGACAAAGGAAAGAAAGGTAAGGAAGTGTCCCAAAAAGGTTTTATTATCATGGTTTCGTTGACCGCTCTGCAAGCGTGTGTTTACCCTTTATAGAAGGCGCTGGGTCCTTCATTTTTCACCATGGTGAGAGCACAGCTGGTAGCGCTCCTGTACTGGCCGTCTGCCGAATTCATGAACCGCGTTTTGACCACATCCACAGGAGAAGCCACTACCGTTGTGCAGAAGCCTGCACCAAAGGCAGCCGTGAAGTGACACGGCAGGTTGTCTGTAGGAGGAAAGAAGCTGAATCACATTCTTCCACAGTACTTGATATTTGGAAGTGTAAGAAATTGGAATAATATTTTCAGTTTCTGCGATATATTCTTTGCTTTTCCGCCACACCTGTCATTAGGTCATACTTCAGGATGAGTTCTTTGATCATGTCATAGGTCACCAGCTCTGCACAGTTTACAATCGCATTACGGGTGATGTTGGGCATACAACCTTAAAAAAAACAAAAGGAGAACGGTTACTTAGATACCATGATAAGAAACATAATGTTTTTTTCATATATGTATATTAGATGTAACATGACAAGCACCTTTCCAAAGGCCCCGTACTCCCTCAGTTCGGGCAATCGTCTTGTAGGCATCCAGGGTGCTGTTGTATCTCCTCCCACCGTCAGCCAGCCGCACCTGGGCTTGGAAGCGCACCTTCACCACATCTGTTGGTTGAGCAAAAGCCACAGCCATGGCTCCCGTGGTACATCCTGCCATGAGCCGAGTAACAATCCCGGCACCTGCGCAGCATGAGTATTTAAGTCACAATGAAGCAGCGGGAAAGAAACCACCTGGTTCCTATATGACGCAATGATACTCAGGTTATGCAACTCACTCTCAGTGCCTCGAGTGTAGAATTGCTTCATGGAGTCATAGAGGCCAATTCGGACTGAGGCGAAGCTCATCTGCCTCTGGAGTCCTGCCACCAGTCCACTGTAAAGGCTCCTGGGCCCCTCTGTGCGCACTATGGTGGTGATGGTGCCAAACACTCCACGATACTTCACTGCATTGGCCCCTTCAACTTTCTGAGACTCTCCCTGAATCTGGACAGTTAAATTACATTCAAGGATTGTTAACAGCAGGTTTAGACAAATCTTAATCAAGACATATTTGGAGCAAACTCTGAAGTTAAAATGTGTCTCCTGCTTCTAACCTGTAGTCTGACTTTGGCGGTATCCAATGGAAAGGTGATGAGGTCAGCAATGCAGCCCGCCATACCTGCTCCGAAGAATTTAACTGCCGCAGAGGGCACCGCGTCTTTGGGCTTGATGCCAACCATTTCTAGGTCTAGGTTGATGACATCAATAGAAAAATCTGCTCTTAATGATTTTTTCCCCCAGGACCCCTGTGTATATCAAACCACATACGCCAAAGAAAGTCATCACTCAGCTCAAGACAGACACACACATCTCACATTTAATCACAGTTTCTTCTGATTACAACATCCACATATCTACAGAAACTGAGGTAAAACCTGATTGTACTTGAGTGTAAAAAAAATATGTGTTCATGCAAAAATTGCGCATGCCCGTAAGCTTCAGGTTTTTTCGAGAAGTACTCTGGTCTTTAGAATCGGTTCTGTTGTATAAATGCATTGGGCCATAAACGCTGTTTGAAATGAGACAGCCAGCATGCCACCCCAAAAACTAACATTTATCATTTAATTGCCATCCAAGGCGAGTTTGTATAGTTGTTTTCACACATTTCATTAATAGCTGTATCATTATGATAGCTGAGTAATACAGTATAACTTAATCAGAGGTACAAAACTTTTAATAGTTGAAGCACTTCAATATTTATTTACATTGGTTTCATTTTTAAACTAAATATCAAGTGACATAGGTTGAGTCTGAGCTCATGAATAAAGTTTCTTTTTTTTAATTAGTTATTTTTGTGTGAGAGTTTACCTAGATGGTTTTCCAGGAAAGTTGTAATCCAGCTCAGAGAAAGAATACACAATCCTGGAGGCAGTTAGTCCCTTCTGTGTCCCCGTCTCTTTATGTTGAAGGATAAGAAGAAGCTGCTGATTATATAAGCACCTTTTGCTCATGACTGTCGGAAAGCATGACAAGTTGTACACCTGTTATGTATATCTCATGTTTACCAGTCTGCGGGACACAGCCGGACATCTGAGCACTTGTTGATCTGTTCCTAACAGTGTCATCATGGTAGCCTGGAACGCACTCACGCACTATGAGCACATATAATCATTGAGAATATGTTCATGTTGTTTCTAATTTCACAGTAAAACTTGCTGACACTATCGTGAATATATTCAAGCTTTAAACCCATATCTTAAAGTTTACATACCATTTCACACATAAACATGTGGGGACAGCAGCTCGTATTACTACACTGACGTCGAGGAGCATACTTCATGTTTCTATTGGTTGATATATGTGGCCAATCAGACAGAGAGGCCTGTCTGGATTCCCTAAATGTTTTCAGGGGCCATTTGATAAGAGCTCTAGGGTGGATAACTTTTGTCCTACATCCTTTCCTTGGACTTAGTGCCCCGCACGAAATACAAAACTAGTTGAGGAGTTTTAGGAATTCCCTCATCCCTCCTCCCTGCAAGTATTAAAGTTACAAAATGTTCCAGGCAAAGGAACCGCCATGCTTCTCAGCCAATTCATACGGACGCACATAGCATCTGTATGTAATCACTCCAGCCATTAGCATCTGTTCAGGCAAACAGGCATCACCCAATGAGAGGACGAGGGAAGACACTTGCAGTCGAGTGTCGGAGTGCTGCGTGTGCATGCCTCCACACGTGTGACTTTCCACAGCAGCTCTAGGTCAGGATTCCAGCTGACGTCAGTCGTGTCGTGCGGTTGACTGTGCAAAACTGTCTCCTCATGTCTAATGTTTCACCTGCTGCTTCATGTGCCAAGACGATGTTCTGTTCCCAAAACTTCAGTGATATTTCTTTACATTGGGACATGCATAGCTGTTTTTTCCCCCGTTTACCGATGCTGAATCTGTTTATCTTGATGCTGCATGTGTCTGGCTACTTCAATAATGTATAGACACTACTGTGTACAGATACAATTAATTCATATTCCATACACCAATATATTAAAATTATTATCAATATTAACATTAGCAATAGTGTTATTTTTAAATGAAGCATACAGCAGAAATTACTGAAGTGAGAACTTATCTATATTTAAACGGAAATTGAACATTGTGTCCACAGTGCACAGGTGTTTGGACAAAGAGATTAAAGGCACTCATCCATTGTTTTCTTTACTTGTCTAATTTGCAAGGCAAAGATGGGACATTGTTAAATCTTAATAATGGTTCAGAAGAGGAAGTGAGGGGTTTTCACCACCTGCTTTCTTGACCCTAAAAGGAGGTTTCTGAGAGCATAACCTTTAAGTACAGTCAGCCCAGTCAACAAGTTGCTGCTCCGGCTTCAACCAGTTTACAGTGACCTCGCCGACAGTCTCTGAAAATTAAACTGAGCAGGCAGAATCCCATGACCACTCTGTACGCCTGCACTTTAAATACCACGAACTGTGAAACAGTGCTGTGAAACAGCTAATCTCCATTACACTATAAATAAAGACCATTACACTATAAATAAATCAGCCGCTGCGTCAGTGCGAGGTTAGTGACGGGTGAAATGGTGAAATTAGGTAGTGGATGAAGGAAAGAAGTGGAACCAGCAAGACTGCCAATACATTTATTTGAGTTAAATTGTTGCTTTTAATCCTAATATTTTTAGTATCATCATTACTTGCTTAGTACCAAATCCCATCCATATGTACCATCTTTATGCTTTTAGGGTTTTCAATCAACTTCGTCAAAAGCTTTTGGAATGAATTTTGACATGCACAGCACATGTGAAGAGACGAGACAGCAAATGGCAGCACCAGGAACAACTCAGCTGTTTGCTAATTGTTCATACGTAGATTTTACTAGCATTGTTCGTCTTAGTTAGAAAAAACAGACAAAGTAGCTGCACATTGTGGCTCTGAGTTAATTCAATAGATTCCAACCTTGAAGGTTTCAAGATCTTCCATTGATTATAAAACTATTCAGATGCGATTGCCATCAAATAAAATACAAACCCAGCCTAACAATCATGATGGTTACAGGGCCTGATACACATCTAGTCTGTCTGTGCAGGATGTTTATAGTCTACAGCCATCATTAAGCTATCAAGAAATAAATAGTATATTACATCAAAATATGTAACAAAATTCGATCTACATCATTATAAACATGTTACTGTAATCTAAATCAAACAAAATCAAAACTCGTAAAAAAACAAATCTCACCCAAATTTCAAAAAGAACAAAAAGACAAATATCCCATCACCCCAGAATTTGGTCTAACTGATAACAACCATGGCTGAAGTCAAAGTGCCTTCAAGCACCTGTCCATGAAATGTTTTCACTATTAGAGAACACACATGATCTGCCATCTGAATGTGGTCCACGAGGAACAGTATGGGCCACATGCTCCACATATGTACATCGGTTCATGCATTCTGTTGGAAATAACTGGAACATCCATCCGATCAGATGGTTGGACAGAAAGACTCTATAGCAAACTAATGGATTTGAGTTGAATAATCAATAAATGTTCTTCACAAGTTGTATTTTTTTTCCCGAATGTGCATTTTGGTAGCAACAATGGAAACTGTTATTCAAATAGGAGGCTTATTTATGGGGGGATTTTGTTGCTGAAAGGGTGTAACCTCAAAGTCGTGACCATTGCCCTCCTTCTGCATTGTGTCGGTGCTGATCAAAGGAGACGATTATCACCTGAGTCCTCCTCACAATCGATGAAGGCATCTTTGTCCCAATGTTTAACTAGCTTATTCACCTTCACCTCTTTGTGTCCTCGCTTGTGCCTCTCGCAATCAAATTAGCGAGTCTGCAACTGTAGACGATCAGCTGTCTCAACATACTCTTTATGTAACTCAATCAACAAGTCTCCCATTGAATAACAGTGACACAATACAGGACTTAATCTGCAACTTTAGTACTCATAAATCTGCAGTTCCGTGCGTGATAACCACACCGAAACACCTGCTGCTTTTTTCCTAACCATTATTATTAGTATTACTATTATTAGATATTCCTCAAGAAGTCGCCAGCAGGGAAGACACTCTTCTGCACTGCACTTATTTTTATCACTTGTTTTGTCCACAAATTAACAAGCCGCTTCTAAGGGTTCTCCATCGGTTTAGGATACAATACCAAAAACTTAATGGACTTGTGTGAGACACAATTTTCCAAAACAAAATGAATTGTCTTTAATGCAGCTAGGCCAAAATATCCTGACTTTTGCCCCTCATCTCTAAAGAAACTACATTTGCCAAGAAGCAATTCAATGGTGTGATTCATTAGACCCGCCCTGGCACTCCCATCTTTCAAACTCCACACCTATTATTTATGTTTTGATGACATCAGCTGGACATCACCAGTTCTTTTTTCAGACCTGACAAAGCTTCTCCAGAGCTACAGAAGACACTGTGCAGAGTGTGCTGGTGCCACCTTGTGTTCAACATTAGGCTGATGTAAGATACAGGATATAACATTATCCTAATATTTGCTCTGGCTTGTGTGTAGTAGTTTCTTAGCTTTGTGATAATGTGGGAAGATTACAGCATCTGTTGAAAAGTTAACTTCAGCTGAGGGAATGTGAAATCTTTTTTATCTCTTGAAATGTTCTCACTTCTCTCCTCAGACAGATTGTGCATGTGCAGAAAAGAAGCTCGCTGCTATTTGGTTTAAATAAATGATGAAACATGGTTTGTTTCTACTGTGCAATCTTTCCCAATCTTCAGCGGGCAAACAATAACATGTCGTAAACAAACTGATGTGTAGTAGTAGTCAATAGATGGCAGTAATGCTTTACAAGTTCCGTGCCAAGCTACTAAGAAATAAAATCGTAGAAGAAGAGGCCGACCAAAAATAATCACAGCAGCAGAAGAAGAAGCGCTAACCGTTAGCCTGTCGGAGAAATATATCCAATGCCTGGCTAGCGTCGGTGCAGGTTTAAAAAAAACAATATCATATGCTGCGAAAGAGAAGGAAGGTCGCATTAAACAGTTCCTGCAGGAGACCGACCCCCCTTTCGACAACATGGAGAAACAGTTGCATTTAAACCTGTTACCCTCCAGACCTCCTATGGCAGGGGGGTTCGGGTCCAGCTCCAAAATGAAAATGGGGTGAGTTAGCTCAGCTAACGTCTTAATAGCATGCTGTCAACTCTGCTGGCTGTCTAACGTTATCTTTTTACTATAAACCATCACGTCAGTGGCTCTCTTTTACGTTGGACTCGTATCTTTACAGCTAACGTTAGCTAGCTAACCTAGCTATTGCTACCAGAGTTTTGACCAACAGCGGAGGATGCAATGCAATTTAACCCGAAGAGTTGGAATACAACCTACGCATTATAACGTTGTTTACACATACAACGAAATTGTATGCTAGTTAGATTTGATAGTGAACAGATCCAGCTGGGCCACCTCCAGTGTCCACTTACACCTCCTTTGTAAGGTCAGGGCTTGTTTATTGTTCTCGTTACAATAGTTGTATGAGCTTGGTTTTGCGTTTGTTAGATCAGAAACCCTAAAACATTAACCTTTTTAAAAAGTCCTCGGTCTCTGTTTTCCTGTCAAATAACTAGCCAGCAGCCAGAGGAGCATTAGAATGCTTTACGTCTGAGGTGAAGATGATAAATGAAGCAGTCAACAGTGAATTGTGGTTTCTCAATTTATTGCTTACATGGCATTTAAATAATCTGGTCTCATCTTTTATCTATATGGGCCATTTTTCTCTTCAATGTTACAGCATTTAACAGTTTGAAAAAAACAACTAGTGTCAGAGAGCCAGCTTGTGCTTCTCAAAGATGTCGTGCACTGTGTCTTCTAATAATCCTGCTGCAATATGGGATTGGTTTACATTTCGCTCGTCCTTCTTTCTTCTTCTTCTTTTTTTTTTTTTTACAGACCTGGACGAA